CGCAACACAAGAACACGTCGCTACAACACATTTGAATCGCCACGTAAACTGCTCCGACGCAGCGCTGTCCACATGATAGATGTTCAATCGTAAATATAATGCGACACGATCGCGTACGTGCAGCATGGCGGGGTAGCAACAATGAAAACAAGAAAGTGCAAGCCTCGAACGTCTGGAACCCGTCGAGGTCGCCATCAATGTCAGCGGACCCGTTGATCAAGCCGTCGATGTGATTAACGTCATCAATGCAGTCTAAACCATCCGCCATGATCCCAAAGCCTTACCGAACTACTGGAATTGAACCCACATGGCGAAAACGGATGCACATGCAAACCTGGGTGTCCGCAAACAAGGCCATACACGCAAAACTGGCTGACATCGCAAGCAAAAACCCTGAGCGTGACCCTGTCGTCTGCGAACTTGACCACCCTCTGAAATCAACTGGACACTAGACACTGATCCACTGCCGTTGCGAAACAATCAAAATCAATCAACATCGAATCGGAAAATAGGATCGGATCGGTGCATCGAACTGGGCCGCATCGGCACGGAATTGGAATCGAATCGAATCGGCCGCACAAGGATGCACACCATCGCCATCCGAACATCGGGCCGCATGAGATCCTCGGACTATCGCAACCTTATCGCATCGGGCCGGGCGACAGGCCATGACTGCTGTGGCGGAAGACGTTGGTCCTTCCTCGCCCTCCCAACAATGCGCGCTTCTGGACGCACCAGAGTCCCTGTGCAAGACGTGACGGCGATGTCGTTCCAACTCCTCTCCGTCGGCCAGGAGCAAGACTCCGGCCCGCTTTCACCAAATTGGCCGGGGAGGAAGCGACGGGCTCTCCTCAAGGAGAAAACCCTGCAAGCCGTGGGGGCATCATTGAGGTGAGGGAGCAACCAGCAACAATACCAGCAACAAGGTCTATTTGCAGGTGCCCTTGTGGTGAGACCGACTGCTCAAATCCTGCCGATTTCTCCCGACGTGCCGATTTCTTCCAACTGGTCAACTGAACCTCGGGGTTGGCAAGCGCAAGCCCCAAGCAGCTCAAAAGTCAGACATCCCGTCAAATTGAATGCGTTGTGGCTGGCCCCATCCACGCGGGTTGGCGATGACTCATGTGGCAAGATCCGGAGACGCAAAACCAGTGAACCAGAAAACAATTGCACCAGAAGAAAACCCCGATAAGATCGATCGTGAGTCAGATAGTGAAGTCGTTTCAATGAGATCGGTAGTGAGATCGATCGTGAGATCGCTCGTGCGATCTATAGTGAGATCGATTGTGATATCGATGGTGCGATCGTTTGTGAGATCGATGATGAGATCGATAGAGAAATAAGTAATGAGATCGATGATGAGACCGATCGATAAGATAGACCGAGAACCCGGTAACCCCGCTGCCCACCGAAATCGGCCCGGAAGCGGGAATCCGGGAAACCCGAACCGGGAACCTGGGAAACCGGCCGCCCACCGAAATCGGCACGGAACTCTCGCCAAATCCTTCAATCTCCGCTAGGACCCCATCAGTGCAAGCACTGATCGGGGAAAAGCACACCCTTGCGGCAGAATGCCCTAAACAGCTATACGCTGTAGCGGGGAGGTGCATAGGCAGAGACACCTAGAGTGATCATGGAGACGACGGGACACAACGGTAGACAATCGGCGCCCGAACGATTCCAAGTCCAGGTCCGCCCGTGCTCGGCTTCTGGGGCACAACTGAAGTATTCCTCATAGACAAGCTGTTCAGGAAACTGCTCGGACAAATAAGGCCGTCAGCGTTGACGATGTCATACTGTCATTGTCACGGTGGTAGCGGTGATGATTGAAGCGCCACACGTGATGGGCCAATTTCGGCATGATGCTCGCTCGCTTGCATTAGCCCCAATCTGGAAACACTAGGGGTGCCGTGCAAGGGTGCAATTTCGTTACCAAAGGCGAACGCGTTTGACATATGTAGGCGTCTGCTACCTGCGCCAAGACATGCACACCAATCCCCCCAAACGAACCATCGGAACACGACGCCGGCCCGATGCCAGTAAGACCGAACCTATGAGCGAGACTGACCAGCCCTGGCCCCAGCGACGACGCGCGAAGACGCCGACGGACGACGCCAAACCACGACGGGCGATTGACGACGACTGACGACGACGGACCAGGGACGACCGACGACGGACGAAAGACACACGACTACACGACTACGGACGAGGGGCGGCAAACGACGACGAATAGAAAAAAAATAGATGCCCGACGACGACTGACGAGCGACGATAGACCGTCCACTGCCGCTCGCCCTTTGCGAATCGTCCTTCGTCCGTCAGTCGTCCTCGTCGTCCATCGTCCCTCGCGCTGTCGCCCGTCTGTCGCTCGTCTGTCGTCCTTCGCCCGTCGCACCCGTCGCCACGACGGACGGCGACGGGCGGCGAAGCACGACTCACGACTACTTACGGCCGGCGGGCGGGCGCCGACCGACAGCGAACGGACGACGGGGCAGCCAGCCCCCCCGGGGGGGACAAAAGGGTATCGAGACCGCCACTCCCCAGACCTCTCCCAAGGTGCGCCCCGACGCGAACTCCGAGGAGAATCCAGCCGTGGAGGCGAAAGCTCTCCAGAATGAGCAGCGGCATCGGTACCTTCTTTCGCTGACCTGGGAAGACTTCGGGTTGCACACAGACAGCCGCCACAATAGAAAGCAAACGCTGCATAAACATAAACTTTTGGGGCTCCGCGCGGACTTCTTGGATCTGAGCTGGACCTCCCTCCCCGGCGCGCGGAACGCGCCAGAGGAGTCGCCGGAGGCGGCGCCAGGGGGGGCCCAGCGCAGATCCAAGAAATCCGCACGGAGCGCCTAAATATTATGTTTATTGAGCAGGGACCGACCGTCCCGGCATTCCTATAGTCCTACCACGACAATTTCCTAGATCCCCAAAATGTTCTAAGAGCAGAAGCCATGTTCTTAGAACATAAACCCAATGTGCTAAAACAAGACAGTCCCAACCAAAGATGTTCTAAGAGCACTTCGTTCATACCACAAAAGGCTCTGAGAGCATTGCTTGGTGGGGATATAGGCGAGCGGGGACGCTCCGCCACTGCTCGAATGTTGACGCCGTGGTTTGCTCTTCGACCCGGGCAGTCCTGGCTAGCCTCCGCAGGCCCCCCCCCCCTGGCCTCCGCAGCCCCCCCGAGGAGCCCAGGCCTGCACACCACAGCCCTGGGGCGCGGGGCGCCCAAAGGATGCATGCCGCTGCAGGCGGCGCCGGGGTGCTGAGACCGCACTGGACCACTCGGGGGGCCTGTTGAGGCCAGCCGTGACTACCCGGGGGGGGGGGCTGTCTGTGCGCAGCCCGAGGCCTCACCACTCTGACCCCCCCCCAACCCGCCGGAGGCTCCGCCGACCGCACCCGCAGGCCCCCCGCTGCGTGGCGCCCGGGGCAGCCGCCGCCGGCCACGGCGGGCGTGGCCATCGCGGCGCGCGCCGCCCCAAAGCGGCGCCTGGCCCTGCGCTGGGAGGGGCTCGAAGTGTCCAGACAGCACCAGCAACCAGCGTCAAGAAGCAACTCCTGGGAAAACTACGCAAGAACGGTCCAAAACTGGTAAGCCAGAGTGAACGGGATTCGGCGGGACTGTCCCCAATTATGCTGGAGAGAATCGCACCCTGGGGATCACAAAGTTCGGGGTCCTGGGAGGATAACTAATTGTTGCTTGCGACATCCTCGAAGAGCTGCTGGTCGCAAACTCAGCGAATATTCGAAAGCTTGCGCTTCGTTCGGAACATCATCGCGGTTTTGATAACGAAGATTAATCATGGTGCTATGCATGATTTGAAGGTCAGAGAGCGACGATGCGCACTTTGGGGGAGATGAGAAAGTTCGCCCGAAGTTCCGCCCCCGCGCCTGTTGTGGCAATGCGAAACCACATACACCCCGTGGATAATCAGATGGAGGAGGTGGAAGGGGGGTCACCTTTATTGTCCGCGGCATGCGTTTATTATGGTGTCCGGCCGGTGATATACCAGCACCGATGCTTAGCATCATCTCCCAAAATATGGATCCGAATCATCTGGACAGCAACGACGAAGCGCAACTAATGGAAACCACCTCGGGCCCCGAAAACTTTCGAACTACTACCCGAAACTCTGGGAAAGTCCAGCCCCCCTCCTGTACCCCCCTGGCGTTGCCCCTGAGTCGAGTTGGGTGGTGTCACCCGAGCCCTGCCCCAACCAACCATCGATTCTCCTTAATCGATGGCGGGGTGGGGGTAAGGCTCGGATTTCACGAAGCGTTCGACGAATTCCGAACCCTACCCCGCCGCCCATCGAGTCGCCTGAATCGTTGACCGGCGAGGGTAGGGTTCGGATTTCGCCGCCGACGACGAGTTGCCTGGCGCCTTAGAGCGGTGCTGGAATACCAACGAGGGCTGTCCTCGAAGCAGCCCACGCCCGAGGGGCAGCTGTGGTCGCAGACGATCGGCAGCCTCATCGCTGATGCCCGGAAGCTTGCAACCACTCCTGGCGGGCGCCTACGTCTGGCGGGGGACTGGATCCGCAGCGCAGGGCGGTATTGGGAGAGACCCCGCCGCCCGAGCCGGGCGGACGGCTGGAGGCTACCCTCCTTGGCCCTTTGGACGACTACAGTCGAGGCGTTGACCTAAGGAACCCTAAATAAGGAACGAGGCCCCTATCTTCCATAAGTTGAACTTCGATTTCGCATCGAAAACCTAAGGAAAATCCAAGGCAAGCTGCGAAACAATGAAGGAACACGGAGCCCCTCCCCAACGAAAAGGGTTCCTTCTTCAGGGCCCCGACTGTAGTCGGCGTGGCGCTCACACGGAGCGCTCCCTCGCGCGGAGAGGTGCGCGGTGGGCATCCGTGCGCACGCGAGTGCCCCGCGCCTGCGGCGTTCTGGCGGAGCCTCGGATCGAGGCGTTGGGCCCCTTCTGGCACGCCCTCCAGGATTGGAGCCATCTCGGCGTCTGAGGCGCAAACCCGTTTGGTTGCGCATTAAGCCACCGCAGCGGCATAGATGGCGATGCAGAAGGTCACGAGTATGAAGAACAGGGACCATAACATGAAGAAGGACATCACGGATACCAAGGGCACCTTGAAGTCGTTGGGTGGGAAGTCCCATATCCCGCGGCCTCCACGACAGGAATTCGAAGAACGTTCCAAACAGGTCTTATCACTCGGTTTTGAAGAGCGTGCCGAAGCCAAGACACTCATAAAGGTTTTGGAAGGTATGCTCAACAAGTTGTTGGGGGGATGGGCACAATGCGACAATCACAGCCCTACAGATCCATCAAAAATCGGATTGATTACGTTCCCCACGATGGCTGACAATATCAAATTCTACAAACAAGGACGGGATACAGAGGACAAGAAAAGCATGTTTGGAAACATGTTTTCCATGAACAATTTGACTCGGGACGAAAGGGCAAAAGAAAAAAACTGTGATACACAAAACACTACCTTGCCAATATCATGGCGACAAAAAGATCAAGATCCTCTGGCCCAAGAACATGGTCATCGTGAAAAACACGGCCGGCACAGAGCGAAAGGTGGCCTGGTATGACGAGAGCGGGGAGTGGCACATGACAGCTACGGCCAAGAGGTGCAAAAAGAAGTGGACGAGTCCATGGAGAGCTGTTGGAACAGAAATATCACCCGAGCCTGACACCGAGAACGAATGACGAGTACATGCAGGAAGTGATGGGCACGCAGCAGCCCGGATACAGTGTACCAGTCCCAAAATGGGGGGAGGGAGAGGGAAATACGCAAATAAAGAAGGTGATTTTCCAATAGCATCGTTGCGAAGTCTTGGCGGTGAGCATGCGTATACGAAACCTACAGGGCATACCGAATTCAAACAAACGATTTTGAGAGGTCGATCTTGGAACGCTGCCGGCATGAGCGAAGAATATTTTCAAGATTTCTTGTGAACGTAAACAATCTGGAGATACATTGGGACGTCGTGTTGGTGCAAGAGGGCCCACAAAACGACAACGACAGCACAGACGAAATTCTGGGGGGAAATTTGTGGCACGTGGGAGCCAAGAGGGAGAGGGATGAAAGCATAGGCATTCTCATTCACAGAAGATGGGTTGCACACTTTGCTGGCTTCTTTGTTGTGGGAGACGGAAGGGTTGCACACGCAGACCTGGATACAAAGCAAGGGAATTGGAGAACAGTTTCAGCTCACTTGCCGCACGCAGGTCGTCAAGACATGGAATACGAACTAACTCTGGAACATATGCGGCGGGCGCTTTTCGTAAACAGGACACGCAGGCAGTGCATTATTAGCGTGGATGCCAATGCGAAGGTTGGCCAACAGAACGACGAAGACGACCACGACTCTTTTGACAAGTTCGGCTTGGGCGAGAGGACAAACAGAGGGGATCAGCTCTTAGCGTGGGCATCCACACACAAATTCACTATCACAAACACAATGCTTCCAAAGAGGTTGGCGGACAGATGGACGCACAAATTATGGAGCACAGGGAACATGAGACATATACACATATTGATAGATCGGAGGCATATTGACATACTGAATATGCGCCTCAAGGCAGAATTGCAGAATACGGATGTGATTCCAATTTGATGCAAAAAACAGACCACAAGGCCATGTTTGCAAAATTTGGGATTAGACGGAAAAAGAAACAACGATGGAAGCCGGCAAACACGAGAAGAGGGTGGAAGATGACGACCAGCAAGGAGGCATACAATCTTGCTCAATCGAAGGCTCTGCGCGAGAGCCCAAAAGATGTTGTAGCAGTGACGGAGGCGCTTGTGCAAGCTGCTTCCGAATGCGGCGCAATACCGGGAAGGCGGGAGAAGAACGAGGAGACTGATCAGAAAATGCAGCAACTCCGGGAAGAGAGAAACAAGGCTTCCACCAAAGACGAGAGGAAGGAGAAAACGCTCAGCTTGAACAAGGCCATCCGGAATTTGATGCGAAAGAAACACAACGAGCAGCTGGATAAGTTGATCATCAAAGGTGCGGCCAAACAGTTGCCTGGGCTCCAACGTCGGCCGAAAAAAGGAAGTCGCATCGCTAGCATTCAAGATGCCAGTGGCCAAATACAGTCAAAAAGGGATGACATAGCAGAGATTTTCGCTTCATTTTATAAATCCTTGTATAATGCTCCACTGGAGGAGCCGCAGGCAGCCAGACCAAGCAAACATGCATGAGCACATGAACTCAAAGATGACGTGGTTTCGTGCATATCCCGAATGACGCGGAACAAAGCACTGTGCTGAAGATGGCCTGGTGGCGGAAATGCTGCAGGAGGGCGGGAACGACATGATAGAAGCAATTGCGGACACGTTTGCCGACCTGCTGAATGGCGTGTCTCGGGCTCCAGAATCGTGGCGTACTTCAAACTCGTTGCTTTGATCAAAAAACAAAACCATACTCCCAAAGAATTACAGGCCGATCGCAATCATCCCAGTGTTGAGTAAACTTTACAGCACCATACTCTTGAGACGGATGGGGCATATCTTGGACAGTTTCAGAACACCCGAGGAAGTTGGGTCTCGCAAGGGATATGGAATGTGTGTCCTAGTGCATTGCATGCGCATGGTTCGCGAGAAAAGTATGAAGTGGAGGAAACAGTTCGGACTGCTTCCATAGATTTGGAACAAGTATTCGACAAAATCATACGTGCAGCTGTGTTGGCAGGTCGACGTGAAGCTGGCGTCGGCGAGCACATTTTGTGGGCAATCGAGGACTTGTATCGTGACCAGTTGGCATATACCCAACTAGACACAAACACACGAAACACACATTTCTAGATTCTCCGTGGCGTCCGGCAGGGGGATCCAATGTCGCCAGCATTATTTTCAAACACAGTCAGGAACGCGATGGTGCAGCTGAAGGAGACTTGGAAACACAAAGGGTACGGAAGCCTCGTCGGCAGCGATTTCTGCGAAAAGAACCACATGACTTACGCTATGTTTGCAGATGACACTACGTTGGTGGCAAAATCAAGGCAAACATTGGCGCAAATGTTGGCGTCAATCCGGGACGAGCTTGCGAAAATTGGTCTGCATATGAACGCTGGGAAATGCAGTATTCAGCGCTCTGGAAAATTGTACCACCAAGCAAGAAAATCAAAGTAGCAGGGTGTATCCATTGGTCAGCTATAACGCTGGTTCATAAAGTACTAGCTGCTACCATCACAATGGATGGACGTATTTCTACAGAGTACGGGCTGGATGGGTAAAGTTTTCTAGCCTGTCAGAAGTTTTATTGAAAATAGACAGCTCTGAGTCAAAAAGGTTGCAGCTCTTCGACGCGAACGTGTCCAAGACTGTTCTCTGGTAAAGCGAAACGTGGAATCCCACAGTCAGACAGACACACAAACTGAGAAGCACGCAGCGGTGCATGCTCAGACGGATGGTTCGGCCTGTCAGGCGTCGGGGCGAAGAGTATTTGTCATGGGTTCGGAAAGCGACGCGTGTCGCGGAAGATAAAGCACAAAAGGCCGGAGTGTTTGCTTGGTTGCATCATCATCACCATCATCATCACCAGCATCGGCCCACCATCATCAAAATCATCAGCATCACCTCATCAGCATCCTCATCATCAACATCATCATCATCGGGACACCATCATCGTCATCATCATCGGGACACCATCATCACCAACACCATCAACAGCATCATGATCAACCTCATCAGCATCATCATCGGGATTTCATCATCCTCATCATCTCCATCATCTTCATCACCAACTCATCATCATATCATCATCGTCAGCATCATCAGGATCATCAACATCATCTTCATCATCGGGACACCATCATCATCATCAACATCATCATCATCATCATCATCATCATCATCATCATCATCATCGGGACACCACCATTATCATCACCATCACCATCATCATCAACATCGTCAACATCATCATCATGATCATGATCATGATCATGATCATGATCATGATCATCATCATCATCATCATCATCATCATCATCATCATCATCGGGACACCATCATCATCACTACCATCACCATCGTCATCATCATCATCAACATCGTCAACATCATCGAAATCATCATCATCAGCAGCAGCAGCATCAGCATCAGCATCAGCATCATCATCATCATCATCATCATCAGTATCAGCATCAGCATCAGCATCATCCTCATCCTCATCCTCATCCTCATCCTCATCCTCATCCTCATCCTCATCCTCATCCTCATCCTCATCCTCATCCTCATCATCATCATCATCATCATCATCATCATCATCATCATCATCGGGACACCGACGGGACACCGGCGGGACAACGGCGGGACACCGCGCGCCACAGGCCCCCGGACAAAAACATTTTGTCCGGCCGCGCCTCAGCCGGAGGCGGGACACCGGCGGGACACCGCGGGCCGCCGGCCCCCGGAGAGGAAGCATTTGGTCCGGCCGCGCCTCAGCCGGACGAGACATTCTTCTCGCCCGCCCACGCAGCTTCGCCTCGCCCGCACGCACGGCACGCACGAACACGAAACCGAAACCGATTTCCAGGCAGGGGGGCTCTCCGTTCCACTTCGATCTCACCCCCTCACCTCCGACGAGTCGAACAGATCCGTTATAGGTGGGCCCCAGAAAAGTCTCCAAAACGAACATCTAAAGAACGAGTGTGCGGGGCGATTGCTGACCACGCAAATGGTAGGGTAGCTAACAAACGTTGATTGTTATCTGGTGCCCCAGGTTCCCGCGGCTGGGGGTGCCAATGGACGATCCGGCGAAGTGCCCATGATCGTATCGATACCGCGCAATGGCCGGGCAACCCTGGACGATCCAGCACAATTGATGTGGAACCTGCTCGTGGCAACCATCGCATGACTGAGCGACTAGCACGTTGTGATCCGTGACAGGGATCAGTTCCCACGGTGAGGCGCGTAGATAAATGTACTACACGTTGGTCGGAAGAAGTAGGGAGAAACATGAAGCAGGAAGGCGGATAAAATGGATCGGGTCCAGGCCCTCCCAGAGAACAACAGAACACAGCGAAATCATGCCGGGTCTTGAAGTAGGAAGGCGCTTGAAGTAGATTGGGATCTGGGAGTCCAAAAATACCTGCTTTCAAAGACCGGCGTGTAAGTGTACTATCTGCTTCCTGCACAAGCCGCGCCGAAGGCTGGCACGCGCGAGGCGCCTGCACCCGTGGAGCCAGTACACGCCCCCGTCGTTACAAGCAAGCTGCGGCAAACTGGGCCACTGGCGCTTTCAAACCAAACGCTCTGGAACTGATCGGAACAACGGTCGACTAGGGATTACGATCAGGAGTTTGCGTATGACGCACTTTTGCACATCTGTACGTAGACTGAAAGGTGAGAACTATCCATCACCACCGCCTTGGAGATCATCTTCGGATACGTCAGCGGGCGGGAGACATGAATCCCACCAGCCCTCTGGGCGTAGGTGGTCTAGAGAGGCTCCTCTTCCAACCCCCATTTCCCCTAGGACGGGGGGGGTCCGCGAGGGGTTGGAGCGTCCAATTTGGCCCAAGCCGGCTCCAAGAGCGCCTCAGAGAGCCCAGGATGACCTCCGATATGGCTCAAGATAGCGCAAGACGCCAAGATGCTCCAAGAGGCCCCGAGAACGCTCCAAGATGGCTCCAGATGTGGCGGAGGCCCAGGGCAAATATTTTAACATGCCGACTTAACTCCTGATGCGGCTAGAACTCTCTCCACATATCCGCGTGGACGGAGAAAAGAAATGGGTGTTACGCGAGAAGACGTAGCGACCTGCAGCCGCGGCATACGCGGCCCAACCCTCCGAAGACGACATAGGCCCCGAAACTGCCCCAGAACTATCTTCCCCGTCCCTGGGCCATGTTGTAGGCATTTTCTGATGGCCTCTGGGTCCGAAATGGAATCACGCAATACTCGAACACAACACGGACCTTGTGGCTCTGTGATAATTATTTGTACTCTTTCCCGTCATGCCAAGTCACCTTTCCCGGTTACGGGGCCCATGTCGGGGAGCTGGCACCAGTATACCAACCACATGTCGAGTGAGGCAGCGAAGCAAACCTTGAAAGAGCAACATACTGACGACCGAAGATTGCACATCAGAGAAACTGATTCTTACCCTCCCAGAAATGCCTTCCTGGACCGAACGGCCATCATCCCTCAATGCACTTGCAGGCAGGGTGCAGCCTCTGTGGTGTGGACGGTTGGACAAGGTTGTCAACGACAGTGTGACAACATGCATGGAAGGCCACACGCAAAAATCTCGCATACTTTCAGAACGGACCGACCATGTGGTCGATGCATAGCCCGCTCATGCAGGTACGCAAATCCATCCTGTGAGCTGGCGATCAACATGCCGTTTGCACTCACTAGCTCACACCCAAGCGCACACCCACACCTACCCAATATCGGGACGCTTTCCCGGTTGCTGGGTCAATGCGGGGGAGCCGGAACCAATATGACAAACCACATACCGAACATTGCCCACAATTGGACGTCTGCGACGCGGACTCTTCACCACTAGTCCATAGACACCCTGCTGGGCTGCACGACCGCTATCCTTCTTTGGACATGCAGGGAACAGCCCACCTTTGCTTGGTTGGACATGGATTTCAACGACAATGTGACAACATGCATGGAAGGCCACACGCAAGCAGCATACTTCAGGGCGGGCCGACCATGTTGTCAATACTCAGCCCAAACATAAAAAAATGCAAATGCTTGCGAACTGCCGATTTGCATGCCGTGTTTACTCACCGAATCCCCATGCTTTCCGATTCCGAGCCCATGCAGAGGAGCTGACACCAGTATGGCGACCACCTGACGAGTGTTACAGACAAGCGACACCGACTCTTCCCCTCCCCGTCCAGAGACGCCCTGCTGGGCTGCACGTCCGGCACCCTTAGAATATTTGCAGGCAGAGACACCCTGCTGGGCTGCACGGCCGTCATCCCTTTGTATACTCGCAGGGTACAGCTTTTGTGGTGTGGATGGTTGGACAGGATTGTCAACGACAGTGTGACAACATGCATGGAAGGCCACACGCAAACAATCTCGCATACTTTCAGAACGGACCGACCATGTGGTCAATACTCAGCCCGACCATAAGGGTATGCAGCTGATTGAATTGACAAATACCATGCCGCGGTTGCCCATCAAATCCCTGTCTGCCCGTTTTTCGAAGCTGGCACCAGTATGACGACCACATGCCGAGAGTTGCAGACAAGCGAACTTCGAAAGAGCCACAGACTGCCGACCGAAGATTAGACGTCTGCGACACTGACTCGTCCCCCCCTTCGTCAAAAGACACCCTGCTGAGCTGCACAGCCGTCATCCCCCAGCGTACTTGCAGGGTACAGCCTTTGTGGCGTGGATGATTGGACAAGACTGTCAACAACAAGATGACAAGATGCATGAATGGGCGAGCAACGACATATGTACATGTACGCCCTCCACGGTCTTGCCTGCACGAACGTGTCCGCGTTGACACGCACTCCAGGGGAAGCTAACCGCGTACGTGTACATATGTTGCTGGCCTCTGAATGAAAGACCACACGCAAACAGTCTCGCATACTTTCAGAACGGACCGACCATGTGGTCAATACTCAGCCAGACAATAAAGGTATAAACCTGCTTGCGAACTGGCGATGTACATGCCATGCTCACTCACCGAATCCCTGTCTGGCCGCTTTCCCGGTTGCCGGGCCCATGCGGAGGAGCTGACACCAGTATGACGACCACATGCCGAGTGTTGCAGACAAGCGAACCTCGAAAGAGCAACAGGCTGCCGACCGAAGATTAGACATCTGTGACACCGACTCTCCACCCCGTCAAGAGACACCCTGCGGAGCTGCACGGCCGTCATCCCCCAGCGTACTTGCAGGGAAAAGCCTTTGTGGTGCGGATGGTTGGACAAGACTGTCAACGACAGTGTGACAGCACGCATGGAAGGCCACACGCAAGCAATATCGCATACTTTCAGAACGGACCGACCATGTGGTCAATACTCAGCAAGACCATGAGGGTGTGCAGCTGCTTGCGAACTGGCGATGTACGTGCCATGCTCACTCACCGAATCCGTGTCTGGCCGCGTTCCCGGTTGCCGGGCCCATGCGGAGGAGCTGACACCAGTATGACGACCACCTGCCGAGTGTTGCAGACAAGCGAACTTCGAAGGAGCAACAGGCTGCCGACCGAAGATTAGACATATGTGATAACGGCCCATCCCCCCGTCCAGAGACACCCTGCTGAGCTGCACGGCCGTCATGCAAAAGTGTCCTTGCAGGGAACAGCCTTTGCGCTGTGGATGGCTGGAAAAGACTGTCAACGACAGTGTGACAAGATGCATGAAAGGCCACACGCAAACGATCTCGCATACTTTCAGAACGGACCGACCATGTGGTCAATACTCAGCCCGACCATATGGGTATGCAGCTGCTTGCGAACTGGCGATGTACGTGCCGTGCTCACTCACCAAAATCCCAATGTCTGGCCGCTTTCCCGGTTGCCCGGCCCATGCGGAGGAGCTGACACCAGTACGACGACCACATGCCGAGTGTTGCAGACAAGCGAACCTCGAAAGAGCAACAGGCTGCCGACCGAAGATTAGACATCTGCGACACCGACTCTCCCCCCCGTCAAGAGACACCCTGCGGAGCTGCACGGCCGTCATCCCCCAGTGCACTTGCAGGGAACAGCCTTTGCGGTGTGGATGGTTGGACTAGACTGTCAACGACAGTGTGACAGCATGCATGGAAGGCCACACGCAAACGATCTCGCATACTTTCAGAACGGACCGACCATGTGGTCAATACTCAGCCCGACCATAAGGGTATGCAGCTGCTTGCGAACTGGCGATGTACGTGCCATGCTCACTCACCGAATCCCTGTCTGGCCGCTTTCCCGGTTGCCCGGCCCATGCGGAGTAGCTGACACCAGTATGACGACCACATGCCGAGTGTTGCAGACAAGCGAACTTCGAAAGAGCAACAAGCTGCCGACCGAAGATTAGACATCTGCGACACCGACTCTCCCCCCCCGTCAAGAGACACCCTGCGGAGCTGCACTGCCGTCATCCCCCAGCGTACTTGCAGGGAACAGCCTTTGCGGTGTGGATGGTTGGACAAGACAGTCAACGACAGTGTGACAGCAGGCATGGAAGGCCACACGCAAACGATCTCGCATACTTTCAGAACGGACCGACCATGTGGTCAATACTCAGCCCGACCATAAGGGTATGCAGCTGCTTGCAAACTGGCGATGTCCGTGCCATGCTCACTCACCGAATCCCTGTCTGGCCGCTTTCCCGGTTGCCGGGCCCATGCGAAGGAGCTGGCACCAGTATGACGACCACGTGCCGAGTGTTGCAGACAAGCGAACTTCGAAAGAGCAACAGGCTGCCGACCGAAGATTAGACATCTGCGACACCGACTCTCCCCCCCGTCAAGAGACACCCTGCGGAGCTGCACGGCCGTCATCCCCCAGCGTACTTGCAGGGAACAGCCTTTGCGGTGCGGATGGTTGGACTAGACTGTCAACGACAGTGTGACAGCATGCATGGAAGGCCACACGCAAACGATCTCGCATACTTTCAGAACGGACCGACCATGTGGTCAATACTCAGCCCAACCATAAGGGTATGCAACTGCTTGCGAACTGGCGATGTACGTGCCATGCTCACTCACCAAAATCCCTATGTCTGGCCGCTTTCCCGGTTGCCTGGCCCATGCGGAGGAGCTGGCACCAGTATGACGACCACATGCCGAGTGTTGCAGACAAGCGAACTTCGAAAGAGCAACAGGCTGCCGACCGAAGATTAGACATCTGCGACACCGACTCTCCCCCCCGTCAAGAGACACCCTGCGGAGCTGCACGGCCGTCATCCCCCAGCGTACTTGCAGGGAACAGCCTTTGCGGTGCGGATGGTTGGACTAGACTGTCAACGACAGTGTGACAGCATGCATGGAAGGCCACACGCAAACGATCTCGCATACTTTCAGAACGGACCGACCATGTGGTCAATACTCAGCCCGACCATAAGGGTATGCAACTGCTTGCGAACTGGCGATGTACGTGCCATGATCACTCACCAAAATCCCCATGTCTGGCCGCTTTCCCGGTTGCCCGGCCCATGCGGAGGAGCTGACACCAGTATGACGACCACATGCCGAGTGTTGCAGACAAGAGAACTTCGAAAGAGCAACAGGCTGCCGACCGAAGATTAGACATCTGCGACACCGACTCTCCCCCCAGTCAAGAGACACCCTGCGGAGCTGCACGGCCGTCATCCCCCAGCGTACTTGCAGGGATCAACCTTTGCGGTGCGGATGGTTGGACAAGACTGTCAACGACAGTGTGACAGCATGCATGGAAGGCCACACGCAAACGATCTCGCATACTTTCAGAACGGACCGACCATGTGGTCAATACTCAGCCCGACCATAAGGGTATGCAGCTGCTTGCAAACTGGCGATGTACGTGCCATGATCACTCACCAAAATCCCCATGTCTGGCCGCTTTCCCGGTTGCCGGGCCCATGCGGAGGAGCTGGCACCAGTATGACGACCACATGCCGAGTGTTGCAGACAAGCGAACTTCGAAAGAGCAACAGGCTGCCGACCGAAGATTAGACATCTGCGACACTGACTCTCCCCCCCCGTCAGGAGAGACCCTGCGGAGCTGCACGGCCGTCATCCCCCAGCGTACTTGCAGGGAACAGCCTTTGCGGTGTGGATGGTTGGACAAGACTGTCAACGACAGTGTGACAGCATGCATGGAAGGCCACACGCAAACGATCTCGCATACTTTCAGAACGGACCGACCATGTGGTCAATACTCAGCCCGACCATAAGGGTATGCAGCTGCTTGCGAACTGGCGATGTACGTGCCATGCTCACCCACCAAAATCCCGATGTCTGGCCGCTTTCCCGGTTGCCTGGTCCATGCGGAGGAGCTGGCACCAGTATGACGACCACATGCCGAGTGTTGCAGACAAGCGAACTTCGTAAGAGCAACAGGCTGCCGACCGAAGATTAGACATCTGCGACACCGACTCTCCCCCC